CTTGGATAGTTTGTGGTGACTTCAATAATGCTCTGAACTTTTAGGACAGAATTGGTGCACCTGTGACCTTCATTGAAATTGAGAACTTCAGGAAATGCATAAGACATACTAACCTTTGTGATGTGAAAACTGATGGGCTGTTCTTTACTTGGAATAATAAGCAGCTGGGTGAGGGAAGAGTCTAGTCAAGAATAGACAGGGTGTTTGGTAATGCTGCTTGGCTGGATAAATTCAGCAATGCTAGCACAACTTTTTTGCCTGAGGGAATAATGGATCATTGCCCCTGTATCATTAATTTCTTGAGTAATGTGGGATCTATCAAGAAACCTTTTAAATTCTTCAATGTGTGGACTGATTACCCTGGTTTTTTGCAGATAGTCAATGACAGCTGGAACACTCAGGTGCAAGGTACTCCTATGTTCTCAGTTGTCAAAAAGTTGAAGAAGGTTAAGGAACCTTTGAAAACCTTGAATAAACAACATTTTTCTAATGTCATAAATGAAGATTCAGAGCTGGAAGCTGAGCTGGTCAAGGTGCAAACCCAGTTGAACTCTGATCCAACAAATGAGACTTTAATTGCTCTGGAAAGGGATACTAGACAAAGATTTGCTGCTGCACACAATAGGAAGATTAAATATCTGTTCCAGAAGGCTAAAGTCCAATGACTTAAAGCTGGTGACATCAACTCCTCTTACTTCCATGCCTGCATGAGGAAGAGAAGAGTTCAAAATAGTATATGCAGTATTGAGAAGGTGTCTGGCATTATAACTCAGAAACCAGATGAAATAGCTGAGTCCTTCCACTAGGCGAAAAACCCCAATCCCCACCGGTTCAAACCACACATTCCCCACCGGTTTTGAACCGGTTTTGATTTGGGGGGTGGTAAATCCCAGAAGATTTCCCACCGGTTCAAAACCAATGGCCAAAACCACTTTTCCCACCGGTTTTGGAGTGAACCGGTGGCAAAAACATCCTATTTAGCAAATACCTGGAAGACTTTTCCCACCGGTTTTAGAGTGAACCGGTGGCAAAACCATGACTTTTCCCACCGGTTTACACATTGAACCGGTGCCAAAAGTTAGCACGCCAGTTTTCAAAATTGTTTTGGCCACCGGTTCAATGTGTAAACCGGTGGGAAAAACCTGTTTTTTTTTAAAAAAAAAATTTATAATTAAAAATAATTAAATACCTGCACATCTTGTATTAATTCTTCCATTAAAATATATTATAATAACAGTAATAATAATAATAATAATTACCCGTATTATTATTATTATAATATTATTATTAAAAATACTAATAATATAATAATTTTTACATTGGAATAATAACAGCAATACATAAATATTAATTAATAACCGTAAATGCGATACAATGAAATGTCATATAGCTTTTACAACTCATTAATTAAAAGGTGTTATATTTACAAACTATATATACTAATAATTAATGTATAAGTTAACAAGTTCAAATTAAATTATATGTGATGAAAGACACTAACATGTCTCGAACTTCATTTAGCTCTTTGCTCGTCAATGGACCTCCTTTCTATACCTTGCAAAACTTGGTTAAACAAAAATGATGTTAGCTAGAATTAATTACTTAGGTTATGTATGTAAAAATACATTTACAATTTAAGTTAGGCAAAAATTTAATACATAGGCCTATATGACTACTACTTCACCTATTTTCTACATTTATTGCCAAATCAACTCATTCTTCCTCATAACATGTCAATATTACCTATTTAGAGGCAGCTAAAGATTGAAATCACATTAAAAGAACAAGTCAAGTGTTTTAAGACGCATTTTCAACCTAAATGGCCCGAATAAGGCCTATATCACTACTTGTATGCCTATTTTCTACACTTCTTATCAAATCAACTCATTCTTTCTTTTAACATGTCATTATTACTTAGTGAGAGGCAGCTAAGGCTTTAAATCACATTAAAAGAGCATTTGAATAGTTTTTGGACGCAATTTCATTCAAAATGGCCGAAATAAGGCCTATATCACTACTTGTATGCCTATTTTCAATATTTTTTAATCAAATTAGCTCATTCTTCCTCTTAACATGTCATTATTACCTATTTAGAGGAAGCTAAGGCTTGAAATCACATTAAAAGAGCATTTCAAGTGTTTTGAGACGCAATTTCATTCAAAATGGCCGAAATAAGGCCTATATCACTACTTGTATGCCTATTTTCTATATTTTTAATCAAATTAGCTCATTCTTCCTCTTAACATGTCATTATTACCTATTTAGAGGCAGATAAGGCTTGAAATCACACTAAAAGAGCAGTTCAAGTGTTTTGAGACGCAATTTCATTCAAAATGGCCGAAATAAGGCCTATATCACTACTTGTATGCTTATTTTCTATATTTTTTAATCAAATTAGCTCATTCTTCCTCTTAAAATGTCATTATTACCTAGTTAGAGGCAGCTAAGGCTTGAAATCACATTAAAAGAGCATTTGAATGGTTTTTGGACGCAATTTCATTCAAAATGGCCGAAATAAGGCCTATATCACTACTTGTATGCCTATTTTCTATATTTTTAATCAAATTAGCTCATTCTTCCTCTTAAAATTTCATTATTACCTAGTTAGAGGCAGATAAGGCTTGAAATCACATTAAAAGAGCATTTCAAGTGTTTTGAGACGCAATTTCATTCAAAATGGTCGAAATAAGGCCTATAGTACTACTTGTATGCCTATTTTCTATATTTTTAATCAAATTAGCTCATTATTCCTCTTAACATGTCATTATTACCTAGTTAGAGGCAGCTAAGGCTTGAAATCACATTAAAAGAGCATTTCAAGTGTTTTAAGACGCAATTTCATTCAAAATGGTCGAAATAAGGCCTATATCACTACTTGTATGCCTATTTTCTATATTTTTAATCAAATTAGGTCATTCTTGCTCTTAACATGTCATTATTACCTAGTTAGAGGTAGATAAAACTTAAAATCACATTAAAAGAGCATTTCAAGTGTTTTGAGACGCAATTTCATTCAAAATGGCCGAAATAAGGCATATATCACTACTTGTATGTCTATTTTCTATATTTTTAATCAAATTAGCTCATTCTTCCTCATAACATGTCATTATTACCTAGTTACAGGTGGCTAAGGCTTGAAATCACATTAGAAGAGCAATTCAAGGGTTTTAAGACGCAGTTCAAGGGTTTTCTCTTATCAAAACACACCATAAAAGCAAAATTAACTAAGTCAATGGCATACCTCATCAAGCTGTTGTAAGTCTGTACAATAACTCATTATGTCCAACATGAATCTCATCACGTATAGTCCGCAATCAACTCCGTTATCTTGTTGTGCGCACTAGCATAGGAACACAGTAAATGAATCAAACATGCATAACAAATTAGCAATATCTTACGCATTGTTTATTATAAAAATCACAAAATCATGTAGCATTACCATCGGTGATTTCCATGTAGGACCTTGAGGAGCTCGGCAATTTATCTTCTTCATAGGACTATAGAAAAGTAAGTTCAAACTTGATTAGTATGACTAATATAATAAATGAGTTAAGTAAGGATAATCAACACTAGATAGTTATATTTACTTTCGCAGTATAGACTTCACGAGGAGCTTTTTCGGATGAGGTAATCGAGCTGAATCAAAAAGGAAGATGGTGTTACTAGGAACACAAATCACCAGCAGGGTCCAATGTGCACTACAGAAATGGACAATACACAAACAAGTCAATAATTAGCCGTGTACAACATATAATTAGGGGAAACAAATGAATTTGACATGGTCAAACGTACTCCTCAAAACATGGGGCGAATATGAACTTGTCACCCGCACGCAATGATTCCTTGATACCCCGTTCAACATAGTACAACACGTCAGGGTAGTTTCCTAAGATTCTAGTAGTGGAGATTTGCTCGGGGCATAACCACCCTACTTGACACGGAGAATCAATCTCAAGTAAGTGCTCCTGTAGTGCTCTGCATGCATGGTAACAAACTATTAATGGGAAATTAAATGACAAGCAATCACCACTAATCTGAATAACATAATAGTGTCTGGCATTAAATTACCTCATGAATGTTTGAACGAGGGAGATGTTAAGCATTGAACCACTTAGAAATTCTTTCACATCTTCTTTGCTAAGCCATGCAACTGCATCCTCATCAAAGTGGAACATTGCCTTAGGTAGTGGAACTTGAATGGGAGTGTCACTAGGCAACATACTAACACGGTTGTGTAGAAATGTTAAATCTTTAGACAGCGTTTGAAGGACCGTGTCAGCAACAAGTGGAGTAGCTTGCAAAGCTCAACCTCTCGAAGAGTTCTTCTTCGACCCTTTTTCACTCTCCGACCTTTGTTCACTCCTCTTCTTTGGCACCGGTTGATCAACACTTATTGGTTGTTCCACCCTCCTCTTTGAAGTTTGTCTTTTTTGCGAAATCTAATACAACAAATCACGCAATTGGTTAGAAAAGACAAATCCATCTAACTCTTGTGAAAACAACCGGGCATAAAGTACCGAACGAACCCAAAATCTTAATTACCTGGTTCATCAACCTTACCTAAGCACATGGCCACTGCACAAAGCTACCTTTTTCCGCCCAAAGTGTAGTAAAATCCTCCTCCTCTATGGGCACCGGTATTAGGATGTCCTCGAACCCGGTAATAACAGAATTGATCCCAACCGAGTAATGTTGTGGCCTAAGCGGTCGCAAATGGACCGTACCTTGTTCGGCCGGTTGTGCACTACCATATGCAACCACATGCAAAGCTCCAGATTCGTCCGGGTGTAGAAGTGCACAACGGGTCTCTTCCTACACCAATTTGAAAGATCAGTTATTAGAACCAAACATATCACAAGGGGTCGTTTCCTACACAATTGATAATGTGCCCATATACACTAAGATTGATAATGTGCCCATATTCACTAAGATAGAACTAAACAAAATCACCTGTAAATCTGGAAAATGATGAGGTGCTGGATTATCGAGCTCCCTCGATTTCACATGTGTAGGCGTACCACCCTGCAACAAGAAATTAATGATTGCCACCTTAGATCCTACATAACTCAATATGCCAAAACTAAATCTCTTAAAACTACCTCATTTGCATCATCGTCTCCATGTATATCATCTTCCCCTTGTCCTTTTGGGTGACTACATGAGTCGACGGGTGTATTCGAGGGGAAAGCAAGCTCGGTAGGTTCATTTGCTTCGCCCAAGCGTTAAATTCACTTACGAGCTCGTTGCGGACTTGTTCCTTAATCGATGCCACCGTGGAAACCAAGTCATGAGGTGAGTTCACACTTGCTCGGGATCTTCCTGATTTGGTATACTCTGGACCCATCACCTTTTCCCACCCTAGCAATGACCCTCCTGCACCTACTACCCGTCCTGGATGGTAGGGCTTTCCCAAAGCCAAGGTGAAAGGGTCTTTTTCTACACTTGGGACGAGCTTGCCTTCAACCAGTTCTTCAGTGTGTTCAATCTGTAGCCAAAAAAAAAAACAAAAACCAATAGCATCCATAAGTGATATTTATGCAAAATATTCATAGAGTTCTCAAGTTCGTAGTTACTTACGAGCTTATCAGCCATTTCTTTGGTTTCCGGAGCCTTGATGGCCCATTTTCCGGTCTCCTTGTCACGCGCATGCAGTGAATAGAAGAAATCACCAGCACGACTCACCAGCGTAGTGATCGTGGAAGAAGAGGGTCCTTTGGATGACCCTAGTAGCGAAGTGGGGTATACTCCTTCATTGACCCACGTTTCCCTCCATTCACCAAATGTCTTACACCCCATACGTTGGGTGTATTGCTTCATCTTTGCATTTTTGGAATTTTGCTCCCTCAGTTCCTACGTAATTAGAACTGTTAGTATTATTACTTCAAAAAGAGATAATATATTATACAATTGTAATCAAATTTACTTAAACTTACAATTGCTTCCTTTGTACTTTGTTGAATAACAAAAGCTTCCCAATCATCCTTCGATATGTTTGGCCATTTTTTCCATGGGAGTAGCTCTTCATTGATGACTTCATCATCATTGCCTTTCTTCTTCTTTGGTTTTTTCTTCCTCTTTGTGATCCAACCACGAACTAATTCGCTCTTGAAGCCTCTGAATCTTTCCGCTAGCAAAGATTCAAACACCCTTTGCTTGGCGGCATCATTAGAAATATTAAACAGACTCTGCAAACACAAATAAAGTCGATTATTAGTTTCCCCTTTTACATAACATTAAAGTAAAGGTATTTATAATTGTATAAATATGCAAATAAAACACTTGCCCTTGTATCATTCCAAAATGTGTCAATCAAGCCTGGAGGTACTTCCCGCATACGAAGTGTAATCGGGATTTTACGCTCACAAATGCCAACGTGAATAGCATATGGACGACGGAATTTGCCTATAGGTTGGCCCGCCTTGTCGTACTCCAGGACCATGGGACCGACGGGTTTCTTGAAACTTGTCGTCAGACCCCTCACCTTTTTCTTAGCCGGTGCCCTCACCCCTCCTCCACTTTGTCCTTGGCTTTGATTGTGGGAAGTAGCATTCTCACCAACCGTCTCAGAAACTGCATTTCAATAGGAGGCGCTTGTTCAGCCTCCATTTCAAATGCATCCAGCCTATGCTCCAACTCATCCTAAGCCTGATCTTCTGCCTCACCCAAATCAGGCTCCTTGTTCACATCATACAACTCATCACCATCCCCAGAGAAGTCATCATCATCATCCTCTACATCCTCGACACAAACACGGTCCTGATCGTCCACCATGAATGGGGTCTTCGTGCCCGAATCTTTAAGCTTGATAACTGCAGACATTAATGAAATGGTAATCTATTAGTATAGTCAGAAACAATTCTAAAAAAATCCTAGTTGTAATTATGCATAAGATTGAAGGAGTGATGGCATGAATATATTGAAGTGAAATTATGCATAAGATTGAAGGAGTGATGGCATGGTTCAGCTGAATTATTGTTGTTGTAATTATTGACGGCGTGTGATCATTCTCATAATTCGGGTAATGATGCCATTTTTAAAAGGAAAATCTATTTACTTAATACGAGTAAAACAATAAAGAAAATGTGGGATGAACTTTAAGGAATGATTTGAAACTAGTAGTGTAAAAAACTTTTAAGGAACATAGAGAGTATTAGGAAGTGCTTAAGTAATTTTAAAGGAAATAGATCATCCACATGAATCGTCTAAAGACTCTACACATTGCAAGAGGCCTAAAAAAGTAAGATGAGAATTATGTAAAAAGATGTGAGGGAGTGCAAGTCTTTTCTATATTTTAGTTGCTATTTGGTGCCTTGGTGGATTATCTTCCATATTGGTCATGTGTTTTGAACTATTTTACTCTCCATTCTTCATTTCACCTCACGTATGACACTTTGACATGGATATGGTCATATGGGAACTATTTTATTCATAAATTGCTGAGTTGGCACTTGGGCATGTATTAATACTAATCCTAGTGACCGAGTTTAAATAACATGTGTTTGAAAAGACTTGTCTAATTTAATGGGAAAATAATTACTACGAGTCTTAAGAGCAATGCAAATAAGATAATTATGATCCCATCCGTTTCGTTTCCTCCAATTCCTATATTCAAATTACAAAACCTAAGCTAACAACAACAATATTCCCTAAAAACACCCCTTAGGCCCATACCTTACCTTACCCTTCATAAATTCTCAATCCTTAATCAAGAAAGAAACCATCTAATTCATTTAAGCATCAACCATGAAAAAAAAAGGTCACTAAGCATTACAAATACTTCCCCCCCCCCCAGCAACTATTTTGCCAGAATACACTGAAACCCAAAATCAGAAAAAAAAAAAAAAAAAAAAAAAAAAAAAAGCACCCAGCAGCCCTGCAAACCCAGAACCAGCAGCCATGTAAACCCAGACCGGAACAAAAACCAGGCCCACACAGCCATGCAAACCCAGACCACAACAAAAAACAGGCCCACACAGCCACACACCCTCTACACCCCTACTTCAATTCAATCCCTGCCACCATCAATAGCCACCTCAACAACCACCAACAACAGCCACCATCACAGATAATAATAATAATAATAATAATAATAATAATAATAATAATAATAATAATAATAATAATAATAATAATAATAATAATAATAATAATAATAATAATAATAATAATAATCACTTGCATGTTGATACATTAAAGTAGAATCTGTTTTCTTACACAGTTACTGACTCAAAATTCGACCTATAATAAAAATAATTTATGGACTCAAAACTAAAATCTGCAATATTTTCTCCCTCCAATCCAATTCAATACACAAGTCAACATAATAAGTTAGTCTAATTTAAGCATCAGTATTGTAACAGAGCTATAATTGATGATATTGTAAACCCAAAACCAGCAGCCCTGCAAACCCAGAACCAGCAGCCATGTAAACCCAGACATGTAACCCAACCCAACTGTTACAACATAATCCACCCAAAATCTCAAAGCAAACCACAAAGAAAATTAGAATACCCTGGCCTAAATCAACGACTAACCCTAGATTGCGAAGCTATTCAATAGCTAAAATTAGGAAGACCACGAAATTTACCTACCTCGAAGCTGCTACAATGGAGTTGGAAAGCTCGGAATGCGCTTCAATGGAGGTCAGAATGCGCTTCAATGGAGGAGAGCTGTACATGGAGAGAAAGAGAGGAGTTGCACTGCGCGGCAATGGAGGTGAGAAAGCCCACAATGCGCTTCAATGAAGGTGAGAAAATTCGGACCTATGCGTGAAGGAGAGCAATGGTTAGGGTATTCATGAACGAGAGAAGGAAGGTTAATTGAAGGGGAAAGCAGGGGAATGACGAAATAACTGAAGGAAGAAGAAGAATTTTTCACGAATATGAAGGCGGGTTTTTTTTTTAATTTGGGCACCGGTTCGAACCGCTTGGAAATACACTTTTCCCACCGGTTTGGGTTGAACCGGTGGCAAATCCATTTTCCCTCTTTTTTTTTTTTTTTTTTTTATAAATCAAAACTTTTGAAAACCGGTGGCAAAAGGGGGTGCCTTTTTCAATTTTTCTACTAGTGCTCATTGAGTTTTACAAAGTGATGCAGGGTTCTGCTAAGGATATGAAGAGAAAGATTCCCAGGAGGTAATCTCCATGGGACTTGTGTTAAATGAGACACAAGGAACCTATTTATGCAAGCCCTTTACAGCTGCTGAGGTTAAGAATGCCCTTTGGGGTATTGATGAGAATAAGGCCCCTGGCCCAGATTGGTTCTCAAGTAAATTTTTCAAGGTTTCCTGGCATATAGTGGATAAGGATGTTACTAAGGCTATTCTAAATTTTTTTCATCAGGGTAGGCTCTTGTCTCAGATCAACACAACTGTGCGTACTATGGTTCCTAAGGTTGAAAATGCTTCAAAGGTTAGCCAGTTTAGACTTATAGCTTGCTGTAATGTTTTGTACAAGATCATTGCTAGAATGCTGTGTGAAAGACTCAAGGAAGTGCTCCCTGACTTAATCAGTGAAGTCCAGAGTGCTTTTGTGGCAGAGAGATCTATTCTTGACAATATCTTGATCTGTCAAGATGTATTGAAGAATTATAATGACAGACAGAAAGCCCCTAGATGCACTGTCAAAGTTGACTTATGGAAGGCCTATGACTCTATCAGTTGGATTTTCATCCAGGACATGCTGACTGCTATAAGGTTCCTACAGGCTTTGTTAATTGGGTAATGCAATGAGTATCCTCTCCTACTTTCTCCATAATGATTAATGGAGGTATGAAGGGTTTTTTCAAGGGGAAAAAGGGCATAAGACAGAGGGATCCTATGTCTCCCCTTCTTTTTGTCATTGTTATGGAATACTTGTCAAGATTTCTCAAGAAGGTGGGGGGATTGAGAGGCTTTAAGTTTCATTCAAGGTGCAAAGTGTTAAATCTGAATCACCTAGCTTTTGTAGATGATTTGATGCTCTTTAGCTATGGTGATCAGAAATCTATTTCTCTCCTAGTAAGAGCCTTGAAGACTTTCGAAAATTGCTCTGGCCTTCAAGCTAGTCCTGAGAAGACAGCAATATTCTTTGGGAATGTCTCAAGACTTGTTAAACAGGAGATCCTGCATATGTCTGGGTTTGTTGAGGGTTGTGCACCATTCAAGTACTTGGGAATTCCCTTAAATGTCAGGAGCCTGTCTAACAGTGATTATGATGGTTTAATTGACAAGATGCTGCTAAGAATAAATTGTTGGCCTAGTAGGAACTTATCATATGCAGCCAGAAGCTTATTGGTGAATTCAATCCTCCTTAGTCCTTACTGGTCTCAGTGTGTTTTGCTCCCAGCTGGTGTCATTAACAGAATCACCTAGCTGTGCAGAGCCTTCTTGTGGGGAGGAGATGCTACTTTGAGGAAGACTCCTCCCATATCTTGGAGCTGGATTTGCAAACCTAAGAAAGCAGGTGGCTTAGGCATGAGAGATTGTGGCACCTGGAACAATGCAGCTTTGGGAAAATACATCTGGAAGATAGCTAAGAAGGAAGACTCTCTATGGGTGAAGTGGGTGCATGCTGTGTATATTAAAGAAGGGGATTGGTGGGAGTATAAGGCAAAGAAAAATGAAGTATGGGCTTGGAAGAAGCTATGCAAAGTCAAAGATAAGCTAAAGGAAGGATTTCAGAATGATGGCTGGATGAGCAAAGTGTACAGCATCCCAACTGTGTATAAGTGGCTTCAAGGTACTCAGCAGGAGGTTACTTGGTGCCCTTGGGTCTGGAACAACTCCAATATCCCTAAGCACTCCTTCATTCTATGGCTAGCAATGCAAAACAGACTGAAAACTAGAAGTATTCTCACTGATTGGGGCATTTGCCAGGACATAACTTGTCTGCTGTGTGGTAATGCTAATGAAGATAGACAACACCTTTTCTTCCAATGTGATTATAGTAGGAAGTGTATGATGAGAATTAGTGCATGGCTGGGTATTTCTGAAGTCCTGTTTGATTTAGATGCTTCTTGGGAACAGTGGGGAAAGATGTTACAGGACCCCATTAAGAAGAAAGTATGCTATGCTGCAATGGCTGCTGTGGTGCACCAGATTTGGTTTGCAAGGAATAAAGCCTACTGGCTGAAGGTCATTATCCACCCTAGAGCTGTATGCAAGGCAATCCGTGCAGATATTGTAAAGAGATGTAGACAGCTGATAGATTGCAGATGGAAGAGGAAGCATTGCAAGTGGTTATATAGTCTGCAAGTTTCTGATTGTAATTAGCCTAGCTCTGTCTTGTGCTTCTGTTTTATTTGCTTGCTACTGTGTTTTGTTTGTAGCCTGTTTTTTATCATGTTTGTTTTGGTCTGTGAGTTGTACCCTCCCTAGGAGGTGTAGCCTGTTTTTGTCTTGTTTCCCTGTTCAAAGCTTGCTCCCTCTCCACTAAGGGGCACCCTTCCTAGAAGGAAAGGGAATGTTTCTAGGAGGTTGTTTGCCTTGTAAGGCTTGTGTAGTTTGGAGAGTTGCAGCTTGTACTTGTAAGTTGTAACTTTTTATTCCTTGGTAATAAAATTGACTTAATTATCACAAAAAAAAAAAAAAACATACACTAAACATATACATGTATTAATCCCTCAACTTAAATTCAACAGTACGTCTAAACCACTCGAGAGTTTGGAAGTCGGACAGATAAAACAACCTTAGCTCTACTATTATTTCACGTACTTAAAATGAAATTAATCCCAAGATTTTACCACAAAAATCGACAAACCTTATCCACTAGATCGAACAACTCATAGGTTGCTATCTTGTGTGATCATTTACATTTACATAAAAAACATTTTGCCCATTTCATGCACTTAATTCACAGTATGCCTCTTAAACATTAATGAAATGAAAAGAATGCGCTATTCATAAGTTTCCACGCTCACCAAAAAGGTGGTATCCACAGGTTCAATTAACCCCACAAAAATGTCAAGGCCCCCTTAGTTTGTGGAGAAAAAACAGTCCAAATTTCCTAGTGCTTAATCAGAACTTCACCAAACTAACATTTCTCCAAAGTTTATTTTCCCACCTACCAAAACCCATTTGGATAGACTGATAGACCGATATAATAATGGGTCCTTTTTTATAATTAATAACTAGGTTAAACTCCGTGCAATAGATACACGGTTGTTAATTATAATGAAAATCAATTATTCAATTATGAAGTATATAACCACTATAATAGTTATACGAGTAATAAATAATTTAATATTTTAGAAAGTTTAGTTTATAGTTTGTGAAAAGCAAATGTCATAATTTAGATACAATTCTTCGTTATGGTAATTTTAAGCAAATACTTTTTGAGGGAAGATTTTTAATATGATGTTGCCAAGTGTTCCCTTTTATTCGTCTTTAGTAATATGTAATAGATTTACTAGTTTCCTAAAGACTAATTGAATATTTTTTTTTTTACATTTGGTAGATAATATATGTACATCGAACATCTTTAGGACTAGAAGTGTCAAAAACTAATCCTACCAATCTGATCCAATCTGACTTGAAAAATAACTAATTCAAATATCGACTCATATGGACACAATAATTTAGCATGACTCAACTTTAAAATAGACCCGACTCGACCTAACGTTACCAACTCAACCCAAGTACTCGAATTGACACCTCTATTTAGGATAACTTTAACTTGTTTTGGTAGAACTAATATGATTTTAATTTATTTGGCCATTTAATATTTTCATAAGGATGATATATTTGATTTCAGATACGAGTATTAGTATTTAAATAACTTTTGATCATTGTAAAATGTAAAGTCATTATACAACCAAAAATATACAAGGCTTTTTACACACCCAATTATTTTAAATCTTTGTCAAGACTAATTCATCTTCTTCTTTGTAAAAAATGAATAAAAACTAAATTGTCCATGTTTGACTAATTTAAGGGTGGGCGGATAACATACAGTCATACTTCAACAACCCTTCTCTTGAACTTACCCCATCATTTCCTAGTGAGATGGTCCACTCTTCATCTTCAACCGTTGGATAGATATAATCTATCTCAAAAATCAACGGTCATAATTTCTTCCAACCAACCCCTTCTTCATAAAATTAAATATTTATTAATTTATTTTTAATTAAAAATCATGGACTCTTTTAGGCCTTGTTGTTTTATCGGCCCACCACTCTCCTTACCTACCACACCCAACACCTTCCCCCCCTTTCTCTCATTTCTCTCAACTCTATTTATATAGCCCAAACATCCTCTCTCCTCCCAACAAATCAATTTATTTTACTTACATCACATTACATATTCCATCATACCAAACAACTACTCTCTTAAATTCCTCCCATCATCTTCCTCTTCTTTTTGGCGTCCTCTGTTACTATCTGTGTATTACAAAAGTATTTACATTTATAAAAATCCGAAAAATAAATTATGGAGAACCACCAGAGCGGATCACCCGACAACGGTCTATGCATTGGTGGTGGGGTCAAGTATGAGGACCCATTGTACTGGGGAAGGGCTGCCGAGGCCGTATCCGGCAGCCACCTCGAAGAAGTTAAGAGGATGGTTGAGGATTATCGTAAGCCGGCTGTTCGTCTTGGAGGTGAAACACTAACGGTTGCTCAGGTGGCTGCCGTTGCGGCTTCCACCGATGCAAAAGCCGCATCGGTGGAGCTCGCTGAGTCGGCTCGTGCCGGAGTCAAAGCTAGTAGTGATTGGGTGATGGATAGTATGGGTAAAGGTACTGATAGTTATGGTGTTACCACTGGTTTTGGTGCTACTTCTCACCGGAGAACTAAGCAAGGTGGTGCGCTTCAAAAGGAGCTTATTAGGTAACCAAATTACTCATTCTTGTCGCTAATTTTATCAATTATTTCTATTTCTTATTTATTTGCAACTAAGAAATATTAGAGTACATGATTGCAAATTTTTTTTAATGGAGGTTGGTCACCAAAAATTCTAGAATTATGATTTTGGGTTTATTCATTTTAAACACTAGATTACTATATCTTATTTGGTGTACTTACTTTTTTTTACGTTACATCATTTTGTACATTAAAATTGTGGGACCCTTGAATCATGCAAAAATGGTGAAAAATCTTTTTATATTTCCTTCTATAAACATTTTATTATTTAAAAAATGAGTATTTTTAATTCAACAATTTACATAGGACAAAGAATTTTGTAGTGTTAACACGGTCTTCAAAAAGATCATAATAATTTCATAATTAAATTTATGTTGGTATACGACCGACTTGCAGTAGTAATTATTTGCTGACTCGACATTTTCATGAGTTCAAAAGGGTAGATCCAATTATAGGTGAATTTCGTTGGACGGTCTTATGACTAAATTCTACAAATTCATGCTACTACTTTTTTGGTAGAACGTATAACTGTTTAATTAATCGTAAAAATAACTCGATTTGTATACTCTAAAATTATACTCCGTACTTTGTATCATAATAAAAATCGATAGTAAAAACTCGAACTGACCTCCATCATAGGAGATTAGGAGGAGACCGAGGAAGACGTAGGTTGTACACAAAATTTCAAATGTCGCAATGCATGTGTAAGTTACGATATCCAACTCATGAATACATGATATAGAATCAATAATTAATTATAGTTTATGTATATAAAATTAATTAAGATGGCGGATTTGTCTGATTAATTGTGTCTAGTAGTGCATGAAATTGTTGAAGCCATCAGATTAACGCTGTATTATAAATTGTTGGAAACCATGTGCAATTTACTATATAGTATACTCTAGAGTTGACGAAGTTAGTAAACAATATAGCTGATCGAATGAGGTGATCAAACGGTGGGATGCCAGTTAGATTGGAATCATATGGATGGTGGCACCCCTCTATCGAAAATCCTCTTAGGATCATAGAATTTTGGTTTACAATAATTGTCATTTATGACTCTGTATATGAAGAATTTAACTGATTATTTATTAGAAAATAAATTAATTACTTATTTGTAAAAATACTTAATTCAAGATAACTAAATAAAGCTAAGGTAAATTAGTATACATAAAGTACTCTTTATTAATTAAGTATTGAAAAGACTTGTCGTATTTATTTGTTAAGATTTGGTTGAAACTCCTAATAGTAGGTTAATTTGCTTAGCTACTTGTTTATAAAGACTAATCAAATAATTGAATTAACTAAATTGGAATTTACTTCTACATATAGTATATGGCCCGTACGACAAAATTCCAAATTTAAAACACTTGTTTCCTCAAAATTATGCCAACATAAATACCAAACTTCTACATAAAAATTTAACAATTTATAAATCATCTTACGATTTATAGATCAAGATACAAGATAGGTTATTGTCATACAAGTAAATATCCTTATGGTCTAGTCTTT